GTCTAAAAACTGCATGAGTTTATTTTCATATTGTGGCGAAAAAGCCCGACTCCGAAGGAGGAGGGCTTTTTTGTTTCAATGTGAAAATAAACGAATACAGTTTTTACAAGACAACAAGCTCGAATGCAAAATTATCTGTTTATTTTGATGCACGAGTGTAATTTTTATTAATATTTCCTGAGTAAACAAAGTTAATATGGTTTAATTTTATTACTTTGATATTCTATGAAAAGTTACACTATTATTGCTGCCATTATTGTCTAAAAAAGCCTATTCTAAAAGTTGCAAGAGCTGCAATTAAACGTGCAGTTAAAATATGTGTTACTTTTAGCGGTTGCCCCAGCTGATTTGGCGGGAACTGCAGAAACACTTGATGGAGAACATTCTGAAGACACCGCTGTTTCACACATTTTTGGCTGGACCTCCTCACCATCATTGTCTCTCATTTTTTCAATAATTTGCAGATGATGTTCATCATCCATTTGGAGATATGGTGTAATTGATTTGGTGTTCGAATGTCCAGTAATTTTTATCAACTGCTGTTCTGCAACCCCTTTCTTAGCCAATTTTGAAACGGCTGTTGCTAGCAGAGAATGATTTGTCAGTTTTTTTTGAGGCAGTAGCTAGACTTGCTTTTTCTGATTGCTTAGAAGTCCACTGACTGATCGTATTCCTACCAGAAGGTATATTTTTGTACCATTCACTCGTTTTCCTAGCAGGGTTGATGATTAAAAAGAGACGGTTTATTTTGATATTTGACCTCTTTTGCATGAATTCGTGAAAGAGTCGAACTGGGCAATTCTGAGGACTAATTCGATTACGAATTAACCACTTTGATGATGCGCATGGTCCCTCCCCACCTTGTGTCATTTTGGTAAATATTGGATTATATTCAACTCTTCCGCTTTTTCCGCCTACATTGTCAACTTCTTCTTTGAAATATGTTGTCAAGCATCTCGATCCTTCTCCTCCACGCCATACTAATTCATAGGATAACACAAAGAATAGTTTCTTTTGCAGACATGGAGTGTCTTCATCACAGCTTTCGACCATTTTCTTAAATTCCTCACATTTTATGAAAACAGAGCTTTCTTTTCTGGGGCTCCCGTTGTAGCTCCTTCCGTTTTGCGTTTTTAGCTTCTCGAGCCAATTTAAATTCGATGTCTCGAAACCGATTAAAGCGAACGTTATGTTCATTGTAGTAATTATCCATTAGTAATTTAGCGGTAACATTCCAAATAGTTTTTATAGTATATTCTTTATAATCCTCACGATTCTGTCTTTTCATGTTGAACGCCCAGTCTTGTAGAATGTTTGCAATTTGGTGCACTGTAGTGTCTTTACTTAAGTTGTAACATCTTTCTTCACAAAATGCTAGAAACTGCCGCCAGATATATTTTTTTAAATTACAAAATAAGAAATTTGCAAGTAAAACACGCAAAAAACACCAGGCAGTTAACAGGAATTTACACAGTAATTGAAAGAAATAACGAAGGTAATGGAGAAGGACTGAGGAAGAAAATGTCCGAAGCATGCAGAACTGTGGACGCGAAGTCTGGCTAAACCACTACTAATAAGCACAAAATTTTGAAAACTGCACGACAATTTTTTGTGAAAATGCACAAGAAAACAACAGTGACAGAAAGAATCAAACGAAGGATCAGATAAAGAGTGATCGAGGTAAGCGATCAAAGTTCCAAAATATCCAAAAATTTCTTTTTGCGTATTTATGAGCAGCTTCCTACACGTTTTCCACTGGTGCTTTGCAAACAAAGCACTTGAAATATTCCCAAAAGCAAAAAATCAGGAGCACTTAAATCTGAGGATCTTGGTGTCCATCGTTGTTTTCCGTCTTCTGCTCGCTTACCGATGCTTGCGGTTTTGGTGTGAGGATTCTAAGACGTACATTAGTTTTTTATTTTTTGACTCAAAGCGCAATAAAAGCGTAAAGTTATACAGGGTGCCCGGTAAGCACAGAAACTATGAAACTGCCAACAAAACTGAAAAAGAATCAATTGATTTCAGCCACGAAATGAAAAGTTCTGGTAGTTTTTGCACCAAGACACTCAAGAATTCCAAAACTCCGCTTGCCAAAAGCGGCTAAACTCACTTACTGTATCCAAATATGAGTCTTACACACGA